ATTTTTTTTTTTTTTTTTTTTTTTTTTTAGGCGTTTTTGTGTTTTTTTTTTTTTTTTCTTTTTTATTTCAACTTCTTACATTTACCATTTATATATTTTTTTTATTTCCCCGTTTCATCATATTTTCCCCTTATCCCATACGTTATCTTTTCCTTACACTTTTTTTTTTTTTTTTTTTCCCCCCCCTTTATGTTTACCTTTCGTTAAAACGCACATTTGCGTTACTTTTTTTTTGTACTCCGTCCTTACCTCGTCATCTCCCCTCGTGGGCGTGAAATGTACCGCTCCATGCGTATAAAAGCATTCCCCGTAAAAGATCACCTGGGCGCGTCGCCTTAATTTTTAAAACACGTCCGTACACACGACGCACATGCGCGTGTACACATAAGCGTGTTCTTCATACGTGCGTGTTCATACGTTCCTGTTAATACGTCTCTGTTAATACGTTCCTGTTCATATGTCCCAGTTCATATGCGTGTGTTTATACGCACATATACCTATAGGAACACACTCTTTGCATGTGAGAGCGTGCTCTCCCCCCTGTATTTATGATTTTACAAACTTTCTTCCTTCCCCACCTCCCCCACCTCCCCCACCTCCCCCACCTCCCCCACCTCCCCCTTTATATTGTCTTATCTCAGTTTAAATGTTTATGAAATTGTAAACTTTTTTTTTTTTTTTTTTTATTGTAGTGTTTTATTTACACATATATGAAGTTTTTTCCCCCCCCCCGTTCCACCAATGTGCGGATATGTCCCTGCGCGTATGCATGTACATCCTCGTACGGACGAGCAAGGAGGCGGCACTCGAGTGTATGACTCGGCGCCTGTGCGTATGACGCGACACTGTATGGATGACTCGGCATCTTTCCTATAAAAGCGTATACGTCCCTGCAAGTTTACATAACAAACACACACCCTCCATGTGTGTATGAGCGTGCCACCCACCCCCCCTCGTCGCCATGTCCATTTGCACACACAGTCCGTTGTGCATTTTAAAAAAGATACCAAGTCACTTTTTTTTATTATTTTTTTTTTGAGACCCCACTTTTTTTGTTTTCGCGTTTCCCCTGGGGTGTAGCGGCGCACCGTTGGTTTATATTCCACATATTGGTGTCCCTCTGTTCTGACTTGGTGACGGCCAAACCCCCCCCCCCCCCGACGTCTCTCCCCCTGCACACAACTATGTGTACACCCGTTGACGCCCCTTCCTGTGCCAGAACCATACACACCGATAAAAAAATGTAGAAATAAAATTTCATAAAATGAAAAAAATATACAGGGGAACGAAAACGGACGAGATATTTCAGGCGCAGAAAAATAAATACAATCATCTGATAAACAAAAACCACATTTACAACAACATTTATTTGAACTTGGAGGTGTATGAAAAATGGAGAAATCCTAACACGGATGTGAGTTGCGATGGTGGCATCTGTTTTGCAGTGCGACAGGGCAAGACCTGCACCGCCACACAAGTGTCCCTTTCACATAGGGCCAAGAAGCAGGCCTTCCTAATGACAGGAGCGTTTTAGCTGCCCTGCCGAGACATGCACATATGTGTTTACCCCTGCGCATTTATCATTTTTTTTTTTTTTTGTCCCCATTAGAAAGATGAGCACAGTCACTGGAATGAGAGGTCCCTGAGTCTGGTCCTGAACGCGGACTCGAATGTGATGGACAAGGAGGTGAAGCACCTTCTGAGGAGGTTCGAACGAGTGTCACGCGGTTGAGGAGAGCGCGGGCTAGCAGCCAGTGTGTGTGCAAGCGGCCAATGCGTTTCGTGAGACCGGAGCGAGAGTGTCCCACCAATAAGTCTCGAGTTTACTCCACCAATGTAGCACACGTAGCGTACCACTGCAACATGTGTACCACTCCGCGTCATTACGCCCCCTCACTTGTCCCCCCCCTGCAGAGGCGTGTCGGACTCGCTGAAACACCTGATATGGGTGCGGTCCAACGACGTAAACTACTTTGTTATAAACTTCCCTCACTTTTACGAAACCACTATATACAACACGTTTGGAGATAAAATCCCGTCCATTCTGTTCAACGATTGCCCAACATTCTGTGGAGGAATCCTGGGGCTGCAGGAAGACATTATGTGTGTGCAGACTAAAATAGAAGAATTAGAAATTGAAAATAATGAAGACTATGATAATTTTAACATTAATGATTCTACCAGTAACATTTTACAACTTTTATTTAATCTTCCAAATGAAAACGAAAAAAAAAAAGATCAGTATTTATTGCCTGAACATAATTTTTGGATAGAACCCAAAACATTGAGTACCCCAAATTTTGGGTTCACAAATAAAAAAAAAAAAAAAAAATTTTTTTATATTGAAAATGTGAAAAATAAATTATTAAAGAATAAGAAAATCGATAACTACCTTAGGGTTGCATCTGATTCGGTCCTGCCCTATACGAGCAATTTCATTTTTAAAAATTTGTCAAGTCGGTTTTATAAGAGTAAGGGGGAGAAGACGACTCCAGAAAAAGACGACACGGAAAAGGGAGAATGTAACGCTATTAGTGATAATTTGAAAAAGGGCGGCTTCGTTAAGTTGGGCAGTGGTGGCGGTGTGCATGTACACACTGGCCATGTAGGTGCGATGAAGAAGCCGACGGAGGGGAAGCAAAACGTAAAGGAAGGAGGAGGGAAAAATGTCGAATGCTTAGCTACCAATGGAGACAGAATCCATAACGAGTCCAGTTATAAAGTGTCCAACTGTAGTGAATGTGAAAAAAATATCCTCATCAAAGACGATATAATTATTTTCCACAATGCACCAGATGATACGAGTAATGGACTAGATGATACGAATGATGGGCCGGATGTCGACACAGGAGGACAAGAGTACTACGAGCAGGGCGAGGCAGAGGACTACCTGAACGGAAGAAGGAACTGTGAGAAGATTCCGGGGCGTCACTCCTGTCGAGTTAGTGCTACAGACGGTTGTGGTCACCGTGGTGGTGTTAGCGACAAGGCACAGGACCATTTGGGGTCCACGAACAAGGAGTTGCGTGAGTCGAACAAGTACCTAGACATCCAGTGCTACATGACGGAGCAATACATTATAAGTAAAAAGCAGGCGGAAAAAATGAATAAAGCAAAATTATACTTACGAACAACCAGAAAGAAAAAAGCAGACAAGGAAGGAAGTCACCTTAATGCCAAAGACAAGGCGCAGCACGACGCAAATTTGAACCACACGGGGGGTCACAACTCGGATGATTCGTTTGTAAATGGCGCACATGGTGCAAGTGGTGCGAGTGGTGTAAGTGGAGACGGGGATGAGAAGGCTTGTGGAATAGCGGCTGGAGAAAGTAGCCCCATGTATCGTTTAAAAAAATATGCCAGTTATAACGGCACAAGAAATTTTTTAAAAAAAGCTTTTAGTGTGAACAGGGCGAATCAAAAAACTGAAAGGAAGCTGTCTGACCACATTTCTTCTTTGCTTAAGAAAAGCCTGAGCAAGGACAAGGAAAAGAAAAGCTTAATTCCGCACTGGAATAAAGTGAGCGTGGAGGATAGTGGCTCCTCCATTAAGACCAGCACGAAGAAGAAGAAAAAGAAAGATTTGCCACGGGATGAGCTCCGCATGGGCGGGTGGTCATCTTCCAAAAAGGACGCACATAATGGTGAGCGGCATGACGGGCAGAGTGATAAGATGCAATCAAATTACGCACCCGTGGAGGAGCGCGCAGAGAGTCCCAACAGCGGAAGCGGGGAGTCCGCACGGACCTACCTTCAAGCAGAAAGTACCTCCTCCGATGGTGGGCTGATGCAAGGGAAAAGGGAGGACCACGTTTACGACCCCCGGTTGAGGCAGCGGCAAGGGAACGATGGAGAAGAAGAGGGGGACGACGGCGAATCCATTGTGAAATTGAGCGAGTTTAATAACGAAGATGTGCAGAATAAGAGAACCGACTCATTCCATGCGCACGGAAAATATGTCACCCATCATGGGGTCGACTCTGAGAGGAACAACGACGATGGAGAGAAGAGGTCCCTGTTTGGAAAATTGAAAAATATTTTTTATAAAAAAAAAAAATCCAAAGATTCAGAGGGGGGGGACATGATCAAATTTGCGAATGTGTGTAGGAGCGAGGAATACCAGCGTAGCCAAGGTGCAAGGAAAAGGAACACGTTCGATGCAGGCAATGTATACGGTGACGGCACGGAGCAGGAGGATGAGTATAGGACGAGAGAAGAGAAAGGGCATACCAGTAATGGAGATCATGAGGGGGCTAGTTTTTCCTCCAACAGGAACAACACGGGGATGGTGACCCATTATAACACTTTTACTTCTGTTAGGGGGTATGGGGTGTCGGAGAGGAGCGGTCGGCACGACAAGAGTAATTCCCCTGGACGCAACGAAACGGTGGGTACAAGTAGGAAGAAAAATTACCAAATTATTATCAGCAAACATGAAAAGAAGGATCATCAGGAGAGGCATGCTGGGGGGGTAGGAAAGAAGGAAGACAATAATAAGAAAAGCTTCTTCTCTAGAATTGCAAAAATGAGTCCTCCGTTTGGTTTGTCTTTTGAAAGAGCGACGAAATTTGGAGGAGGAACCCCACAGGCAGAAATGGGGACAGTGACGGATGAGGCGGATGTGGACGACTTGGAAAATTTCCATCTCCCAGCGAGCCACCCGCTCAACGAGGAAAAGAGCCAAGGGAGTGACAGCGGCCAAAGCGACGTGAGTGCCAGCGATAGGGGCGATAGCGACAGGGGAGACAGCGAACGGAGTGAAGGCAACGCGAGTGCTGGTGAACAAAAGAAGAGGCAGAAAAAGATCAACTTCAAGTATGAATCCGTGGACAAGGCCGACGCGGCGAATGGAGACCCCAGAAAGGGGTCAGTTTATAAGGAGAAGAATGTGGGTAAGACGGAAATGAAAGGACAGCCTAGCGGGAAGGACGCCTCGCGGGAGAAGCAAATGCACGACAGGGAGACGAACAAAATGGAAAAGAAGTACGCTTCCGTGGAGTATGACAGTAAGGACAATCCCAAATTGGAGAAAGAGCTGTACAGCAAGTTTTATGAAAATGGGGGTGCCAGCGGTGCGAACGCCGCTAATGCTGGAAATAATAACCTTGGGGGAAGTCGTGTCCGCGGCGCCGGGGGAGGGGCGTACCCGCCCAACGTGTACAATTTAGACGACGCTACGGAGCTGACGGCTCTGCTGAACGACAACGGAAAGCACGAAATTAAGAAGCTTCTATGGGCTATAAATAACAATTTTGGAAATGACATCGAGTTCGCACCCATCATCCCAAATCTGTGCATTATACTTCTTATCTACTTCAAGGCGTCCGTCGTGTATTGCATTATGCATTGTTTAATTAAAAAAGGAATTGACACTATTAAGAACAAGGAGTTGCCATTCTTTATATATAAAAGAAAGGATTTTGTAAAGTACGTAAAATATATTTTAAATTCCTTTATTCAATTTTTGCCCAAGTGTTACCATTATTTGAGGAAGTTGAATTTTGATTTAGCAGCATGGACAGCAAGGTGCATCCAGGATGGTTTTTCACGTATGCTTCCATTCGATTTTGTACTGAGGATTTACGGTATATATATATTTGAAGGACAGAAGACCTTATGTCTTTACTGTCTAGCCTTGTTAAAATTTTTTGAAACTGATTTATTAAAATGTACAAATATTGAACAAGTGGAAAATATACTATACCACATTTGTATGCATCCCTACTTAACAATTAATGAATTGACACAAATTGCGTATCGGTTTAAATTAAAGAGCAAAGAGAAGCAACTGAAGTTTTCCACGAAATGTCCTTCGCCCTACCTGATGAATGTTAAAATGAAAACTTTTTATAGACCCAGATTGAACGATAATTCTAGGTTAATAAATTCTTTACATTGGCAAAATATATGGGAGAGGATTCCGAGCAATTTGAGGTCGTTAGATCCTTGTTTAACTTATTGTTCGAAGAAGGATGGGTACAGCTTCCATGTGTTGGTGGAAAGAACAGAAAAGAATAAAAGGAAACCCATGATACTTATTTTAAAAACATTCGATTATGATTTGATGGGTTTTTTTTGTCCCTTTTCCCTCACCAGAGACCTCAATTTTGTTAACTGTTCCGACAAGAGTTCTGCTTTTCTCTGTACCTTTAACACACATTTTAAATTTTATAAGTGGTCAGGCAAAAATAACACTCTCGTACTTATACGCGATGGAATTTACATTGGCGGAAACGACATTGCTTTGTTTATTGACAAGGACTTCAAGGTTGGAAAGACCCACTCATCTGAGTCCTTCTTCTCCCCGCCCCTCATCTCCGCCGGTCGAGACTTCCACATCATGGACATCGAGGTGTGGAACCTCAAGTAGGGGTCCTCAGTCATCGCGCAAAAAAAAAAAAAAAGGGGCGAACGAGGGGCATATTTTGGTGTGTTTTTTTTTTTTTTCCAGACAAGGGGGGGCGTAATCTCCTACTTGACAAATTACCCATCAGAGCATTGTATACGGGACAACCCCCAACTTGTAGAAAGGAACGAAGAAAACTGCCTGAGAGGAAGCACACATTCCTCCGTTTCATCTCACGTCGGTGGTGAAGACGTAATCTTTTGTTTTATACATATTTCCCCCCCCCCCCCTGTTCGATTATCCTTACCGCATGAACAAGGAATTTTTTTTTTTTTTTTTTTTTTTTTTTTTTCCACATTTTATTACCTTTTTCGCTACTTTTCTTCCGTCCTCTACTTGTGCATTTTTTTTCTCTCTCTGTTCTCTTTTCACATTACCCCCTTTTTTTAATAAAACTTATTTAAAAATAATTAGCTTTAATATATCAAATTGTTTTTATGCCAATTTGTGTCTTGCCTCTCCCGTCCCCAACAGTGCAGCGCAGCGCAGCGCCATTTTGGGCCTAACCAGCGTCCCTCCCTCCGCGCGTACATACGAGTCATGTGTGCGCGCGATATTTCAACTGAGTAGAAATAGTACGGGAAAAGCGCAGCTTTTAAAATACTCTTTCCACGTGGTAGGAATGTAATGTCTTGTACAGTTTATTAGCCCAACTCAACCCCATGTGGTAGTTTCCCCATTCCGAGTTACATTGAAAAAAAATTGACCCATGTTGTGCGCTTGCGCGGAGGAAAAAAAAAAAAAAAAAATTCCTTGTTTCATGTGTGCACAAGCGTCTGCGCATTTCTACATCGGGGTTTTTTCTTGTGCGTACTGTCCTTTTCAATTAAAAGTGGAATCGCCATATGACTGTCACAAAATGAATCAACATGTTTTCTTTTCCCATTTGTAAAAAAACAAAATGCACAGCGTGTACGAAGGGCTTCAAAAGGGGGAATGATTAACACATTCTGTGATGTGCGAGTGTAAACTAATCTGATGTGACTGGGCCTACGTCCCACCCCCTTGCATTCAAGTACAAACGCCGTACGAACAGTGTGCAGCATCGTATAAGCCATGAGTAAATAGACCCCCAAAAATGACGACCTGCGATCTGTTCTCCAAAAAAATCTCTGTCTTTTGTAAATTCAGAAGAAACATTTTCAACACCATTAGCCGAAATGACGAGACCCCAAATTTGAACACTATTCATTTGAGCACGTGTGCTGATGGGGAGGGCTACGCAGGGGAGGACCAAACGAACAAATGTGACGAAGCACACCTATGCAATGAAGAACACATCCCATACAATTTGATACGAGAAAAACACCTCTATGGAGTTAATTTGAATGTCGATATATATCTCCTCAAAAATTATAACATTGTATTTTTTCTGCACAACGTAATTAACATTTACAACCCTGTAATAAAATCGTTGAAAACCCTTTTTACGAAGAATGATTACGTCATCACTTGCTCGTTTCTGCATGGGGACTCCCTCATAGTGGTCCTGTATGGATCCGCCCGCTGTTCATGTAAATAAGAGTGATGACACGGCACACAGTGAGGTGTTTCAAGGAGAGTGCCACAAGACAGACACACTGGACCGTGCTTCCCCCAACACCAGCAGGCACTAATGTGATCGAACATGTCCATGTCTTTTTACAAATTGCGCATCATGTCCCACTCCAACATGCAGGCATACAAATATATTGCACGGAAAGACAAATCCTGAAAGAAGAAATAAAATTAAATGATCACGACTTTTACGAAAAAATTTTTGTTCAGAAGGAAAATAACTACTTGGTGTTGATAACGAATAAACGGGTTCTAAAGGTTCTGGATTCAGAAAAAAAAACTTTTATTTTAAACATGTACCTGCATCTGGAATATTGTAACATTGCACAGTAATGAACCCGTTTTGTAAAAGTGAACAACATTGAGAGGCAACACATGGGCTAACACACCATCACACATTCGAAGGGGAGAAGAAATAACGCACTTTTGTTACCCCTTTTTTATATAATTTTCCCCTCTTGTAGGTACTACGATTTTTTTTTAATTTTGAGGAAAAGGAAGCTGTATTTGTGGAACTTGGAGCAGACTTACACGGGTGGGTGTTTCACTTCTGCCTACCTCGGGGGAATATTCCTCCCATTGTGGTACACAAACGTCAACACGCGGCTTCGTCTCATCATGTCTTTTTCCATGCCGCCCCTCCAGCATCCCCCCCATTTTTTTTTTTTTTTCCCCCCCCCCCCTGTCCTTTTTTTTTTTTTTCATCACCTGGCCTGTTCAGGTGGTCAGGCAAGCAGTTTTTTTTTTTTTCCCCCCCCCCCCCTTTTTATAGGTCTTAAAATGAAAGAGAAGAATCTGGAGGTTGACCCAACGTTGCACGTGAACTGCTTTGGGTTTTGCGAGAGGAACATTCTGATCGGGGCGTCCGACGGAAGACTCATCCTACTAAAGGTTAGCCCTTACATGGTGTACGTGTTATTATTCAACTCTCCCCCCGCATGGAGAGTAACTTGACCGTGTGAAGTGAATGCAGCGCCGACTCATAAGTAGAAATAAAGAGGTGATCCCGAGGAGATGCCATTTTTCTTATGCACATCATTACAGGACCTCGTGGAAAAATGGACAATCAAAAATGAAAAAGGAGATGTTCACTTCCACAAGAACATTTGCTACGTACATTACTACGATGGGTACATCACTACCAAGGACGGGGACTCGCTCAAATTGTAAGTTGACCCTCGTTAGAAGTGTCATCCGCATGAGGAGCATTACACACGCGACGCCCATTCACCCGCATGAGGAGCATTACACACACGACTCCCATTTACCACCGCTACACAGATGGGCCTGCCAATTCAACCCAGCGAAACTTCCCACAGAGAAAGAACTGATCATGAAACTGGAAAAAGACATGTGTGTTCAAATCAACATAAGCAAAATAATTCCTCATGAAAAGTTTTTCCTCCTAATTGACAAAAAAAACTGTGCCATATATTCTTCAAAAAAAAATAACTACAATGATCTAAGCACATTTTTTTACACACATAATAGCAAAATAAAAAATATTTTCTCGTGGAAAAATCATATCTTCAGCTTTAGCTACAATGGGAAAATTTTTAATTACCAACTGGATGAAAAAAAAGTAGAACGAAATTATTGTCTTCATAAATTTAGAGACTTCATTACCTGTGTAAAATACCTGTACAGCGAAAATGATTTTTTCTTTTTCTGCATTGGCTTTAATAATGGGGTTATATACATAGTTAAAATGAAACACCTCTTTGTTGACGTTGTGACATGTGTAAAGACGAGCAACAATTCAATTATTCACATTGAGGAAAGTGAAAATTGCCAATACATATGTGTCATTGCGCAGGAGGAAGAGTACGTTTTTTTTTTGTGCAAAGAGGAGAATGTGTTTAAGCCACTGGGATATTTGAAGATTTGTGAAGCGGAGTTGAGGGGCTCTTTCTATTTGCCCTCCACTCGCTCGTTTTACGTCTTGGGGGCGCACAACCTGCTCTTCCGGGTTTGCGCGGAGCGCTTGGCGCCACGCGCGTCGCCATGTACATCGCTACACACGTCACTACACACGTCGCAGCAATGTGCGCAGTCGCCGCTAGCCTCGCCGCTAGCCTCGCCTCTAACCCCGCCCACCGCGGACAACCCGTACGACCTGCATGTCGAGTATGAAATCCTCGAGGTGCAGTTCAACTCCACGGAGGAGGAGGCCCGCCTGTACAACCCCAGCGGGAGGAGAAGCGGAGGCAGCAGTGCCGTGCTGGACAGAACAAGCAGCCACACGACCGAATGCAGCGACAGCGAGCGAGAAGAGTCCCCACTCAACAGCTCGGCCAGCGACATATCGGAAGGGGAGTACGACAAAATGAACTTCTACAGAAATAAAATGAGCCTCACTAGAAACTCAGAGGAAGAGACGGAGGAAAAACAAAACTCCATGCAAATGTGCATGTTTAATAAGAAGAGGAAGAATTTACAAAAATATGTGGAGACGCTATTTAGTGAATCCGTGATGAACAAATTGGAAAAAAGACGAAAAAAATATCCCACGTGTTTGAGCATAAATTTGGAGAGAGACAAAAGGAAGGAAGAAGAAAAAGAAAACGCAGAGGAAGAAAAAAAAAATAAAAAAAATAAATTAAACACAGGGAAAAGTCTCGAAATGAATATTTCTTGTATAGCCAAAATGAATGATAATGGGTTTGTGTTAACAACTGAGGGGATAAAAAATAATTGCATTTTTTTCTTACACCTTAATGGAAGAAGCAGTGGAAGATACAGAATGGACAGCGGTCGAAGAAAGACCATTTTGCGCCCAACTGTGGTGTACAAAATTAGCCGCAAAATTTTCCCTGAAAGGGTATCCATAGTTAGCATGACAGTGAATGAAGCAAACCACCTTCTCTTCTGCTTAACAAATCACAATACCATTTTTATCTTTTCCACAAAATATTTTTTTTTATATTATCAAGTGAACATTCCTTTGTATGAAAAGGTCCGGAACATTTATGTAAATGAAGGGGAAAATAAAAGACAATACATTTTTGTTAGTCTTGGAAATAATTATATAAAATTGGACATTCATTTTTTCTTCGTGCACCTGTTTAATGTGTTAAAGAGATATCATGTGAGTGCGCATCGGTGGGTACAACGCTTCGGAAGAGATACACAAATGGAAAAGTCCGCTTGTTCAGAAATGCCACACGTAAACATGGACTCGTTATACCAATTTTTAATTGAAGAAATTCATGACTACATTGTTGAACAATTTGTGAAAAAAAAAAAAAAAAAAAAAAATATTATTCCTTTCACGTTGGAAAATATACACTCTGATGTAGCGTTCCTCATGCAGCTTTGCAAAAATGAGCAACGACCGGAGGGGGAATTATCCGGGCGCAACAATGACACCATCACAACGGGGGAGCAGACAATAACAGACAATCGTGAAGATGGTAGGGGACACGCTGAACGTAATGATATCATGGACATTTGGAACTTCATTCAAAATAACACTAAAGCGGAGGAAGAGGAAAAGGACAAAATGGAACAGCAGAAAAAAAAAATAAATCTTATTTTAAATTATGATCAACGTAACATGATTAATATATTTAACACAAATGACGTGGTCCAAGATGAAGACATTCTCTACAGTTTACGAGAAATGAAAGAAGCAAAGGAAAATGAAGAAAATGTAAAGAGGGCACTTTTACATAAAAAAAATATGAACATGAAAATTAACAAATTAAAAAAAAAATATATGAAATTTTTTAAAAAAAAAAAATTTCTCATCGATGTAGACATGTCCAAAAGGATATACAAAAATCTCAAACACAAAATAAAAGAATATGAACAAGTCTTTGTGTACAACCAAAGACAATATGATGAAAGAATTCGGTATCTTATGCGGACGTATGAGCGATTGAAATTTTCAACACACTCTCTAACTTCTCACCCACTGGATGGGGACAAAACGCCACTAACCATCACGTGCATAAAAATGTACTTGAAAAATCAGCGCCTGAACGAATTTGTAAAAAAAAAAAAAAAAAAATTAGCACAAGGAGAATTAAAAATAAAGTCCAACTTATGGAACAGGTCAATCAGTCCCTCCATCAGTTTAACGATACCAGACAGAAAAATCAAAAGCTTAAGGTTGTTAACAATGAAGAAAAAATTGAAGAAATATGTCACAAGAAAAAAATTATTAAAATGTACGAGCATGTACTTGCTCAGGTGGACCAGATGGAGAAGTCTACTTCGCCCCCGAGGCCCCCCAGGCGGATATGTAGCATAACGTAGGGCGTGGACACGAGCGACCATGCGAGGTGGTACACGGGAAAAGGGACGTCCGCCTCGTCGCTCCTCTCGTCTTCACATTTACAAAGGAGAAGGCGTTTGTTTCTTTCCCACGACACACATATGTGCAGCATTTTTCCTCTAATATGTAGCTCCCCCCCCCCCAGATAGGTACTTTATATTTTTATTTATTATTTTTTTCTCTCAACGCTCAGCGAGATAATTCGGGAGTACGAAGACGACAAGAGGAAGCTGCTTCACCAAATTAACTTCATCAAGGAGATGTTCAACGAGGACTTCCGTGCGGTCATGTCGCAGATGGAGGAGGTACCGCGTGGGCGCAATGTGTTGTGTCTTTTTTTTTTTTGCGCGGCTTCCATTTTTGCATTATCACGTTTGACCACCCCCCAACACAGTGCCCCTCCCCTTCTTTTCTGCCACCCCAGCGAATGGCGCAGATGCACGATGAAGTACTTTTTTTGAGGGAGGCCCTGCAGAAGGAGGAGGAGCCATGCGGTAGAGCGGCGAAAGGTGAAGGAGTTGATCCCCAGGAGGAAGGCGCTTGTCCCGCCTCTGCTCAGATGGAAGCCTCCTCCCACGAGATGTGTACCTCTTCCCATTCCAAGCAAGTGAGCACGCCGGACGGGTCAGAGAAGGGACCAAGTTCCGTGCTGGACCACCTTGGGAAGTTTATTTTCAAGAAGAAGAAAGGAACAACCGTGAAGAAAATAAAAAGTATCAATTTTGACCGGACCTGCTTTGAAGCGAAAAACAAACATTACAACAAAGAGAAGATAGAAAGACGCTTGGAAAAAATGAGAACAAAATTTGCACAAGAATTAAAGCTGCTGCATATGAAAAAGATAGAAGCCATTCGTATAATAAAATTTATTTCCCTCAAAATTGTGGCTATCGACGAAAAAAATAGCATATTAATGGAGCTGCGAAAGAGGGAGGTCAAGTTAAGGAAGCAAAGAAAAATATTTACAAAAGAATTGAGCATCCTGGATAATCAGATGAATACATATATTCAGGACATGCAAATGTTGGTCTACGACATGGATTGTCACAATGTGAGTGGGCACAAAAATGCATGCCCATGTGATCGTGCAGAAATGTTTTTTTTTTGTCTCCATATATAAGACACAGCGATTACGTCGCACACATGGTAGTGTAAAACAAGAAAAAATATATGACTCAAACAGCTTTGTTACGTGTGCCCTTTTATATTATACCGCTTTTTTTTTTTTTTTTTCTTTTGCACGGCTTTTGCGCAGGAACAAAAGGATAAGAACCTCCAAAGGCTGAAAGAACTGATGGGGGAAGACAGCCTTTGCTACAGGACGCTGATAAAGGGGCTGCGTAAAAATCAGGACGAGGCATCGGACGAAAGTGACGGAGGATACTCCAAGGGGGGGGCGCCACAAGACGCAGAAGAGGAAGAACATGATGATGATGAAACTGCAGCAAAGGAATGTGCTGAACTCAGCCAAACACAGGAGAATGATCAGGTGGACCATGTGGAGTGTCTGAAAAAAAATGGATTAAACAAAACAGATCAAATAGATAAAATAAAAAAAGAAAATATTTCCATTTTGAACGGAATAAGTAACATAAAAAAAAATATAGAATATAAAAAAAATGAACAAAGAAAATTATTGACCAAAAAAAAAAACATCGAGAAGGAAATCCACATGTTAAATGAAGAAATGAAAATTATTGAAGAAGACAAAAAGAAAAATATTTCTCAAGTCAAATTTTACATTCTTGTAAAAATTTCCAAACTAAGAAATATAGATTATGTGTATGACAAAAAAAAGTACCGTTTAAATTTGACCAGCAATTGTGCCATCATCAGCAGAGACCAGTACAGAGACATCATGCAAAAAATGGAAAAACTCATGTGCAGGAAGGAAGAACTGAACAAAGTTTACACAACGTTAAAAAGGGAAAATGCAGAATTGGAACATGTTAATAATAAGCTATATAAAAATATGAACGATAAGAAAAATGCCCTAAAAAATAAATTGAAAAAACATGATTTAATTTTCGACTTTAATGATTTGGAAAAAAAATATCAAGAAAAAAAAAAAAAAGGAATTATACAGGAAATTAAAAACACGGAAATGGAAAATAACAGATATATGAATTTGCTTCATAAGGAACTCGGTCGAAAGAATGCTCAACTGAATGACGTCCGTAAAGAAAACACTCTCCTGCTGGAGAAAATTAATCAGTACATTCAGGTGCTCAAGGGGAGGGCACCATAGCAACACAGTTTGCAAAAAAAAAAAAAAAAATGTACGCAAATGTTTTCTGCACGTCGTGGGCACCTTTTTTCCCTTGGCGTAGTTTACCCCCCTAGCTTAGTAACAAAATAACACCCGTCCAACTTGTCCATTTTTCATTTTTTTTTTTTTTTTTTAATTATAATTTTGTAAAAACATTAAGAAATAAAAGTTCATTCGATTGATAAGGGAAGAAAAAAAAAAAAAAAAAATATAAAAAGGTGAAGAAGTTTAAAAGATGGTAAAAAAAAAAAATGGCATGTTCACCATAATCGTGTGGTGCATAACATAAATATAATACACCACACGTACAGTCGCTGCTTTTTCACAACTGTAATTTTTTTTTCAAAAATACAAAACAGTGGCTTTTTTAAAACATAACATAAAAATGACAAGGTGATGGTGTTACATTGGTGCGACAAGGAAAAGGCTAATTAAAATGAATTAACAAATATTTAAGTTGCGCCGCTATGTGGGCACATTTTTTTTTTTTTTTCCTTTTTTTTTTCCATGGACTGGGGAGAGGTGGAGTTGGGTTGTGGCATTCGCCTCTCTTTACTCCACCCCTATATACTCATGCCCCATACATGGTGTTTTGTTTTTGTTCCTGCAAAGGTTTATACGCTGGCAACCCTAATTTCACTGCCCCGCAGCAATATAAGGTATTATAGGTTGGAAATAAATGCGTAATTGTGTGAAAGCACATGTGTCGGACGAACTGTGCTACTTGGCTTCTCTTCTAAGAGGAAAAAAAAAAAAAAAAATGAGAGCTCCCAAAAGGATTCCAATAAGACAGGGGACGCATCCGTCTCGTAGGGTTAAAAGGTGCAACGCACGCACCGCTTCATGTGTGATCGGACGACCGTGTGGTTGTAACGCGTTGGAGGTTTGCACGTTGATACATTGTTGGTGGGCGTTTTTTCCCCATGGGGGCCATTCATGTCTGCCTCTTTCGGGCGGGAAGTATCCTCCGGGGGGAAGACCCAATTAAAGTGAGAATACGTGCCGATGTTGTGCCAACGATAAAGAGTAAAATTAGATCCTAACAGGAAGAGGTTCCCTCACGATGTGTTATACGTATGAACAATTTTTCAACTTCATATCAGTGCCCCATACTTTTTTTTGCGGCGTGTAAAAAAATATCTGTTTTGCCCAAGCAGTGTGTCTAGAGGAGGGGAAGAGGTTTCCCATTTGTATGATGTCCACCTGGCCGACCAGCTAAAAGGCAATTTCACAAACATTTCAGGACGATCCTTTTTTTCTCCATTTGATGTGACTAAATGTTATGCCGGAAACTGCCTCGACATATATATATATATATTTTTCTTGCCCGTTTTGCTCAACGTGGGGTAAGGAGGAGAGTGACAGTGAAATCTTCTCTCCCTTTCAGCTGCTCCAGTCGTCCTCGTAATTGTCTTCATCCATTTCGTTTCCGTCATCGTGGCAGTTGACGAGGTTTTCTTTCTCCTCATCCTCGTCATCTACAACCTTAACCATTTCGTTATGCTCTTCATCGTCCTCTTCCGGGTCGTACTCTTCTTCATCTTCATCCTTTTCCTCTTCCTCCTCGACTTCTTCTTCTTCCTCCTCCTCTTCAACTACTTCCTCATCCTTTTGGCCCTCCTCCTCATCTACTTCTTCATTCACCTCTTCATCATCTTCCTCCTCCTCCTCGTCATTTGCGTCCTCTTCCTCCTCATCGTCTTCGTCATGACTCAGTTTTTGCTTTTTTCTCGCCTTTGTTTCATCCTCTTCATCGTACTGGTTATTATCATTTTGGTCCTCCTCCTCTTCGTTGTCCTCGTCCGCATCGGGGTCTCTGTGCTCATCATCTTCCTCCGGTACATACTCTTCATCATCTTCGCCCTCTTCTGCCTCCTCTTCCTCTTCTTCCTCTTCATCCTCATCATTTAGCGTTTTCTGCTTCGTTTCCTTTTTGGCTCTATGTGCATATTGCTCGTTGCTTCCTTCCCCTTCTTCCGCTTCCTCCTCCTCATCGTCCTCTGCCGCTTCTTCCTCCTCAGCTGGCATGTCATTCTCTGCGTGTTCTTCTTCTTCTTCTTCCTCCTCCTCTTCCTCTTCTTCCTGTTTCAAATTAGCACAACTATCGTGGAGGTTATTTCCTGTGGATGAATCTGCCGCATTTGCTCCGTCATTCATCGCATTTGCCGCATCTCCCACTTCTGTGCCATTAGTCGCTTCCCTCCTTCTCTTTCCCTCATGGGTTCTGTTATCACCACATTTGATTACATGTCCCGCTGCGCGGTCCCTCCTTTGTGCTTCCTCTTCCTTATGAGTCATGACCCCGTCCTCTTGGTCATTTCTGCTCTTCCCCTTATCAGCGTACATTATTTTATAGGCCTTTTCGTACTCATTGTCGGAGTCATTTTTGGGGGGTCTGTTGTTATACTGCCTATTTTCCAAGTACCTTTTTAACTTAAGGTCTCGCGATTCTCTCCACTTGGTTAATTTGTCTGTGTCCTCACAGATGCAGAGGTAATATTTAATTAGACTGACGAGTTTTTTCTTAAAGAGGAGGAAAGCATAATTATTTTCATGAACAAATTCTTGTTTGCTGATGGAAGGTTTAAGCCAATTAGGAACATTCACAATGACCGTGAGGGCATACTTGTATAAATTTCCTTCGTATAATGATGGGTTTGGAGGGTATTTCGAAAGGGAAAGATTATAAGCAGTATCTATGAAGGGTGCATCTAACCGTTTTATTAGTCGGTTCTTGTAATAGAGTAAAATTCCTGCTTCACAAATTCTATTAACCTCGATGCAGCTACTCGTGTTGTCGTTTAGGAAACCCATCATGATGAAGGACCCATATTCATAATCGGAGGGAGTGAAGAGATAATGAAATTCAACCATCCGGTAAAGTTTCCTCCTTAAGAAATTGTACAGAGTATACTTATGGGTATTATTTATATAATACTCATCTTTTATTTTTAGTGTCTCCATATATACATTTACATAATTTTCTTTTCTTGCTTTTTCATTTTCTTCATGTTTCGCATTATTATTACGATAATTCATTAAATGCATATTTCCTCTTCTTCTTCCTACTCCCATTTCACTTTTTTCTCTTTTATTTTTTGTCTTTTTCATTCTTTTTCCTCCTTCTTTTAGGAGTGTCGTTTTGGGGGAGGCGGGGTCTTGTTCTTCATTTTGTGTTCCGTCTGGGTTGTTTCCAACGGCTGAGCCGCTCATCAGAGCGTCATTCGTTTCTTGTGCCTTTTCCTGATTTTCCGCGTCACCGACGGTTTCCCCCGTTGCAGTCGCCTCGCCGAGATTAGCCTCCGTGCCGTTTGCCCCATTTGCCTCTTCTCCCTGTTGGGCTTTTTCTACATTGTTCGCATTCTCCGTTGCGTTAGCGTTTTTGTTGCCTTCCTCCTTTCCCTCTTCCTCTTCCTGCTCTTCGTCATCGTCATCGTCCTCTTCCTCATCATCCTCCTCCTCACCGTCCTCATTGTAGTCGTCCTCCTGTGCGCTATCATCGGTGTCGTTCCTATGCACATGTTTTCTCTTTTTCACTTCCTGCGTTATTCCATACTCTAAAGCTTCTTCTAGCTTTTTCTTTTGCAATTTTGTGAACCCGTTTTCATCCACTTCGCTATCATCCTCCTCTTCTTCATTCGTTTCGGCTTCCTTTGCACTAGCCTCAAGGTTGCTCTCCATGGCATGTGCACCAGCATGATTAGAGGGGGCGGCTTCATCTCCTTCGTTTGAACCCTTCCCACCAGTGTTCCCTTTACATCCGTTTATATCACCATTACTACTTGCTTCAGTTGCCCCAGGGACTTCCAAATTTTCCACACTGTCTTTGTTAATACTACTACTACTACTATTAGTACCAGGCGCTTCACCGTGCATTTCGTTCTTTACGTGTACTTTCTCACTGGAAATTCCATCGTTGTTCAAATCGTTCATGTTGTTACCCTGGTTGGTATTCTCATCTCCGTTTTTATCAACGTGTGGGTCCTCACCTTCCCCTGCCTTATTCACTTCATGGTTCAACTCTTCCTTCACTCCAACAGGTGCATTTCCGTCCTCAGCCTTTTCCTTCTTCTCCACATCTGCACCACTCTTCCCATTCTTTGTAGCTCCCTTTTTGAATTTCCTTCCCCTCTTACCCTTCTTGCCCTTATTGTTACCAGTGGAAGACGTCCCTGCACCATCTCCTGCTGCACCGCTCGCATTGTGCTCGTCTTTCCTCATACAAGTTGGTATGAGTAAAGTGTTTTGAAGAAAAATATTAGTACTTCTCCTTAGGTATAGCCAATACAAATAAGTCGATAAGCAATAATCAATGCTATCCTTGGGGTGATCCCACAGGGGGAAAATAGGACTAACATTGTACTTTTCTTTTGAAATGGAAGGATTCAAATGGGAGTTGTATTCGAACAAATTCATTTTTTTTAAAACATCATTGCTGCGCTGAAATTCCTCATTTTCATAATACCTACTACTACCACTACCTTTATTGCTCTTTGGGGGCGTCGACGTTTTTGCTCCTCCTTTGGCTTCCTCCGTTTGGTTCTGTCCACTATTCGCACACGCGTTGGCGCACGCATTGGCATCTGCTGCTCGTTCTGCAGGGGACAGCGCACCATTTGAACCCTCAACCTTGAGGCACTTTTCGTTCACCTCGTTTTGGCTACCATCCTTAGTAGTGTTATGTGTGTCCGTATACTCATCAGCACCATCACCCGTTTCACCACCATGAGCGACAGTATCATCGTGGTTGTCGTCGTCGTGTCCGTTGTTTCCTTCCATGTCCTCCTTCTGCTGCTCCTCCTTATCCCCATCTGTAGTCGTTCCCCCATTATTACTACCACCATGCAATCGACTCGCACCACCATGATCAACTTTGCTCCTTTTACATTTTTCCGTTTCCTCGTCCTGTGGATCAGAACAAGCCTTTCGCTTAACCTCTTCCCTGTTGCTCAGTTTAATATCCTCAATGCAGTGCATTTTTCTTGAAGCGTCCATTCCATTTTTCATACCATTCGTGGCCCCGCTAGCAGCTCCTCTTTTCTTTTTACTACATTTAATTTCATCAATGCTCAGGGGAGAGCTGCTCAGGTAAATATTATTATTTGCAGGAGAAAATACAATAAAGTCCATGTCGTCTCTAAAGTCCCAATACAATAACCTCGTACCACTATACGTGCCCAGGATATTAATTTGTTCTGCTAATAAGCTAGGGCTATTAAATGGTGTGTAGGACATGAGGAGCTTTTGATGGTGCCTATGTTCAGACTTGTTTGCAATATTTCTGTTTATTAATTCTTTATTTGGTAACTTCCACATGCAGAGGGGTGTGGCTAACTCCTTGGCGTCACAGTGATTCATTAATTCTAAGGAGAGTAATCCGATACCAATTGTATTTATGGTCCTAGACATGATAGCACAACTGGAGGAGATTCTTGCAAATGACATTTTGAACCCTACGCCATATTTTATATCAAATATTCCATTTGCATTTTCATTGTAAAAATATTCCTGGTCATAATTTTTATAATAATAATGAGCATTGAAGGGGCATTTTTTCTTCCTCTTTTGGTTGTTGTTACCCACTTCAGGGGATGCTACAGGGTCGTTTGTCATCGTTTGCCCTTCTTCCCCAGTTGGGTTACTACTATTCTGTCCTGTGAGTTCACCCTGCTGGGCTCCTTCGGCGGTTGCATTATGAGCGGCATCCCCTCCTGATGTGGCCTCTGCATTAGACTTATTATTCCTACCACTATCATCCACACCGCTCTCCTCATCTGAGTCGTCAAATCGGCTGCTATTCACAAAATGGGTATTGGGTAAGTTATGCTTCTTCACACTTGTGCCCACATCAGTTTCATTGGACAAGCTGTTATTATCGTAGTTACGGTAGTTTCCATACAGGCGGAGAATTCTATTCATGGCATTGAAGTCCAGCCCCTCTCCATCATCCTGAATGGACAACATCCCGTCATGCTCTGGGGTCAATTCATATTTTATAAAAACATTTTCAGCCGGATTTAAAGCATGTACACAATTATCCACCAAATTGGCAAAGGCACCAAAGAGCCATTTTTGCAGAGTACAGAAACTATACAGTAGACTAATGGAATGTGTATCCCTAAAGTAGTAGAGTGGCATTTGTGTGGTTGATATTTTTTCCCTCGATGTATCATACTCATGTATTCTAAGAGGGTTATCCCCTGTGAGGGACAACAACCAAGCATCTCCAAAAATGGAATTCTTTTTAAACCCTCCTTGGATGAATATACAAGGGACAGGATTTTTATTGGCTCTTCCAAGTACATTTTTTGATTCGAAAAAGCAACCCACATGTCTCTGTCTAGCATTATATATAAATTCTTCATTGTATAATTTACCCCTTAGTACATACCACCTCTTTTGTGAAAAGAAGTAGACATAAATTTCATCACTTGAAACTATTTTCAACTTATTGTCCTTGTTCATGTAAGTTATCCCACTACATAGCAGCATTAACTTTTCTATCGTCTTTGGCTCTGCACTTTTAAAATCCTGATGTCTCTGCGTTATGAAGATACTACTATAGTTGGACCTACAACCAATTTTCCCTTCGTATATTTCCCTTTTCCATTCTCCTGTTATTTTTATTTTCTTAAGTATGTTATTCACTTGATCGTTTTCATTATCTGAGGAGTCTTTATCATCACTTAAATTGAAAGATGCATTTGGGAGGCCATTTTCCACCAAGGCATTATTCGTTAAGCTGTTTAAATTTTCACACGTGCTGCTTTTATCTATTGACTGACTCGTGGCCAAATTATTTTGGTAAAACTGCTTGTTGTGTCCTTCATGGTTGTTACTACCCCCAACGCCACTGTTCCCACCAGCATGAGCATTTCCATTGTTGAAGGAATCCACGTGCATTATGTCAACTGCATTGTATAATGTACCTTCTATAGAGCTAGATGTATTATATATAAAATTTCTGCAGGGACCTCCACTAGTCGGCACTCCGCCAGCGCCTCCAATATTGCCCACATTACCTAATGCACTGAGGCTGCCTACACCGACAAGAGGCGGGGATGAGGGGGTATTTGTAGCTGCCCCACTTGAAGTGGATGCAGAGTTGAGGCGGAAGGTCCACATGTCGTCCAATAACTTCCTCTCACGACAATTCTTATTCGAATCGAAATACTCCCCACCAAACAAACACAACGTATTGGTGTCAGACCAAACGAAATTCATTCCATATCTACCAATTGGCGAATCTTGACTGGAGTAATTGATTCGGACCCACATGTTTATTTGAAATAAGAACATCCACATGTCATTCAGGTTAACAATGTTATTATTGTAAAGACATTTGCCTCCAAAAATGATTACTCCCTCTGTTAGATTCGTCTTTTCCCCTCGAACGTGTTCACTTTTGGCTGGGTATACAAGTGAACAATGTTGATCCCTAGGTAAGGGAATTTTTCCTTTTGTAACTCGATGGCTCCATTTTCTCGTCTCCATATCAAGTGTATAAATGTCATTAAAATAAGTATTCTCATTACTACCACCGAACAGGAAAACAGCTATTCCAGTCTTCAAAGAGATTAAGTGTGTGGTGTGCCCATCTCTCTCTTCAGGATAATTTCCGCCCAGTGGCAATAACTTATAATTGTAATAAATGAGACTAAAGGTGAGGGTATGATTGAATGGTACCTTTTTGTGCTTACTATTTGTCCCTCCAAACATGTACAATTTATTTCCATACTTAACAATACTATGTCCGTAGAGATACGAGTGTGGTGATTCGTTCATTATTTTAAGCCACTTGATTCTGCCAAAGACAGAAGATATAAGCATATTTTTAATATTATTCATTTTGTATGTTTCAATATTTTTCTTAATAACCTTCATGAGCTCTTCCTCATCATCCGATGAAGTTCCCCTGTTGTTCAGGGAATTACACTGCATGTTTAAATTCCTGGACATGCACAGATAATCGTGTGCACTGAGCCCACCACCTTTCTGATTCATCCCTCCACCACCCATTCCTAACCCACCAACGGAGGCCATACTACCATTGTTAAATACGCCATCTGAACGCATATTTAACAAATTATTCATGGTGGGGTGACCTCCTTTTTTCTTATTCATATTCATGTTCATCATGTTGTTACAAGACAAAGCGTACTTGTCACTTCCCTTGGCATATTTGAGCAGGTTGTTTAGGTCAGCCTGCGTTTTAACATTACTTAAAAGTTTCTCGTTATCCATATTCATTCTATCTGTACTGCCTGCGTTCACATTTCCACCTCCAGCACCACCTCCATTAGAGCTATTATTATTATTGACCATGCTACTGTTAGCTACATTGGAGAGGATGCTCGAGTATATATGATTATTCATAAGAGCACTATTCAAATTTCTGTGGTTAAATAGCACGTTAGGAATATTATTAACACTTGTGCTGTTGGAGTTGTGATTCATAAAATCATATGATGATTTGCTCAAACCAAAAGCTGCTTCTATCCTTGCCAACCCAGAAGCATCCGGAACGACATTTCGATTTGGATCCTTTTCTAATTTTCTTATAATGTCATGTAGAATGTCGTGCCCAACTACTGCACCGATGTATGCATATATTTTGCCATGAGGTAATTCGTTGTTTAAAAAATCAGTCACTATCCCCCTTATGCATACACGCTGGTCTGGAGTGGTAATATTGTGATTTGCAAGAACTTCAAGTAAGTTAAAAAGGGTTGGCCGGTACCCAAAATTCTCATTGTATGACTGCTGTTGTGACTTGTGGTTATTATATGCGTGATTATTGTTCGGGTGCGCGTTCTGCGAGGACTGCGAATTTTGCGCATGTTGCGAATTTTGTGAAGGCTGTGCATTTTGCGCGTTGTATAGGGAGTCGCCACCGTGTGGGTGATTGGACTGGTTGTTATGCTGCTGGTGACTGTTATGCAGATGGTGGTTCACATTTTTTTGCCTATTCGTGCACCCCAGCTTGTTATTTTTAATCAGTTCACTGTTGGGGTTGGACGACCCTTGCGCGTTGCCGGACGCACCCAAATTGGCCGCTGTTCCATTAAGCACATTTTTGTTATTCACACTACTTCCATTAGTAGCCGCACTTCCAACGCTGTTGTACAATTTACTATTCTTGTCCTCATAATTTCCACCGTGGTACGGTAGAAGATGCGATTTGTGTGAGTGTGTTGCATTCATTTGGTTCAGCCTTATTTGCTTAGCGTGCTGGACTTGCTGCATGTGAGGATGCGTCGAAGGAACGTTATTATTATTACTGTTCGTATTATTGTCCTTTGACTGAGTAGAATTTGATAAATTTGTAGAAGGGACAATATGCGTTACGGCATTATTTGTACCGTTGCTTTGGTTTAAATTGCAGGTAGACTGATTTACCATTTTATTATTTTTCTTATTACACAGTGTGGAATTGTAGTTGTCGCTATTTTCAAAATCGTCCAAGTTGATGTTGGAATTTTTAACTAGGTTGGTGATGGGTCCCTGGTGCATGCCCGGGGAGGACATATTATGTCTCACGTTGCCAACACCACTAACATGGCCAACGCCGCCGACACCGCTGCTGCCGTTCGCGCTGCTGCTCAGGGTGCTGATGGCCGCATTCGCGCCTTTGCTGGAATTGTTGATGACTGTGGAGGGGGAGGTGTTGACGCTGTTGCTGTCTGCGGTGGCGGAGTTGTTGCTGCCCACTCGTTTGAGTCGGTTGATGTGGAAGTCGGCGTCAGTGCCGCTCGGCTGGTTGGCGTTCGACTGATTGCCGCTGGGCTGATTGCCGCTTGACAATGTTTTGTTAAAGTCAAAAAGCTGCTCCAGCCAGTCGGCAATTTTCGCGTTAAAGATGTGCGTGCCAGTGTTGATGTCAATGCCCTTTTTCGTTATGCTCACTCCTATGCATTTGTACTCCTCATGTAATTTCTGCACATGCAAGGTAACACCATCACTGTGTTCAGGAATAAATATATCATATACTTCAGAAGTTTTTTTATCGTTGATGGCTTTCGAAGGATCTAATATGAAGTAAATTCCTGAATCATTTTGCAAACATTTAATTAAATCCAAGTTGTAATTGGAAATGTTAAAATGTTTACTCATCGTATAGTTCTCTTCTCGTCTCGTCTGGTCTCTTCCCTTCTCTTCTCTCGGTTGGTCGCTAATTCTTTACTTGTGCTTTCGTAGTGTTGTGTTTTTAAATTGTTTTTGTTGTCATCAATTTTTGATCCATTTATTTTTATGCATTTGAGACTGTGACCGTCCTCCTCATTTAAAACGATGCGCTCATTAACACCTCGCCCTTGGGTCGCGCGACACCGGTATGTGTGTATGCGGACGTATGTATACACTTGTGCATATACGCGCGTGCACATACGCATGTATATTCGTTGGTGTGGTGGACCCCCTTCCAATTGGCAGATTCGAAACACAGGTTCAAGCGGTCACACGTAACAGGTTAACAGCGCGTACAACACGTCTCTGAACACACCGATGAGGGGGGGGGGAGGGGGGGAGGGCAGCAAAAAATGAATAAAAAAAAAAAAAATGTCACACATACAACATATGCGCAATGGGCAGAACTACATTTGTGTGCGCATACAAAATGAGTTCTGTTTTACAAACTCGAGGAGGAATAAAAAAAAAAAAAAAAAAAAAAAAATTCAAAAATTTGTGCAAATGTCACAGGCACTCCGCGCCTGGTTAAGCCGCACGAGTTTTCTCACACTTTTCGTGCTTTTCCCCCAGTCCGCCTTTTTTTCACGTTTTCCCAAAACAAATATCACAACAGGACAAGGGAGGAGGGGGGAAGGAAGAAAAAAAGTATATCACAAGATTTAAAAAAAAAGGTGGGGGGGGGGGGAAAAAAAAAAGGCTGTAAAACACAGGCACTTTTCTTCCGCGTAGTAAAAAAAAAAAAAAAATGACATGCAAGCGGTGATACGCTAATACAACACAATGGTCAATTTTAGCATGGAGAGAGGGAGAGGAAAGGGGGGGGGGAGTTTTAACATATAGCACACGTATAATAAAAATTGTACCTTGTTACACGTACATAAAAAGAACGCGCGTGTATGGGGTTGAATGCATTTATACACTCGCAGCACAAATATATACGCACCAACGCACAGGGCAGGTGAGGACACATATATATTAATACATACAATTATGTGCATATAACTGAAGTGACGCGCTGGGTGAACAATTATACGATTTGGCTTTGTTCGTCAAGCACGTAAATGTATACACAGTATGAACATGCAATATTGAAATAAGACATACATTCGGGGGCGAAAAAGGGGGAAAAGAAAAAAGAAAAAAAAAAGGGGGAAAAAAAAAATTTCATAAATATTAACAGTTGAGTGAAAAAAGACTTTTGGAGTTGAAAAAGAGAAAGCATTTTCTTATCATTTAATTTTACAAAATTGCTTACTGGAGTGGGTAACCCCTAAATGAAAACATAAATAATGTGGTGTTTTGGGTTACCCCAAGAGGAAAATGCACATTCTCGTAGTAATGTGTATATAAATACAAAATGCATAATATGTTTTTATATATATGTATATGGGCACATGTTTAAAAGGTATTACAAACATATGCGCAGCGCAACGTTAAAATGTAACGCGACGCGTACAAAACATACTCACATGAGAAGAAACATGGTTTAAGCGCTAGCAAACACGCATGAAGGCGCAAACGCAAAAAGTACAAGCGCACAAATTACGCAGTATACAAATATATATACATTATTTATTATATATATATATATCCATGCAATAAAATGATCATGTAAGGATAAGAAAAAAAAAAAAAAAAAGGTTATATTCACGCGTAATAAAAAAAAAGTGAACATAAAATTTTCAAGTTTTGTCAATATATGGTACGTAAAACTTGTTCATTTCAATTTCGTATTTTTTTATTTTGTTTTATTTTTATTCTGTTTTTGGTTTTATTTTATATTTCGTTTTGGTTTTATTTATAAATTTCCGCTTAGGAAATAAAAAAATGGATTTTTTTTTAGAAAGTGCTATTTTTCGCTTTTATATTTATATACAATACAAAAATATGTAATACATTGGCAAATTTAAAAAATATGCTGAAATGAAAAAAAAGGGGGTATTTATATATAAAAGGAAATATAAAAAAGTGGGAACAAATATTTAAATTCAGAAAATATATTTCTCTCACCTTGTCAATGCAATGCGCATTATTATATATACATATTACATATATATATATATATATAACAATATTATATGCATAAAAATGTCCGTTTTATGCTTATGCGGTGAAGTCCATCACTGTATTTTCTTATTTATTTTGTATGCATTTTTTTTTTTTTGTGCTCTTTTCACCAAACTGGGGCAAGTTCGGATATTGCGCGTGTTTTGGACATACATCATTAGTGCGCCTTGAATTATATTTTTAAATCCTATGCTTGTACTTTTTTTTTTTTTTTTTTTTTCGCCCAGTGCACATGGGAAAAAAGAGCACGCATGGGGTTTTACATATAAAAATATACAATTGAAAAATTATATTTGTATGTAATTTATACATGTATACATTTCGCGTTTATATATAAATCACCAAATGCATAATTATTTTCTCACATCATGTTCAAAGGAACCATTTTTTTATACCTGTACGCAATTTGCACATTGGTACAAACCTCTTGCCCTCATGGCGAAAAAAAAAAAAAAAAAAATGATCCGCTGCACAAAAGGGTGTTACCGTCACCCACATGATCGTCATATTTTTATAAATATCGTTTATACATCATTTCAGAGGGGGGTTATAAAAGTTTGTTCCTTTTTTTTTTTTTTTCTGTAATATTTACATGATGTGCCATTGTATTGTGAGCACGTGCTGTGTTTGGGGACGTTCATCACGTGCAAGCAATTGTTCGCTCTTAGCATTATTATACACTACTTTTATTTTTACGTCGTTTTATCCTTTACCTTTGCTCATGATTCTCTTGCTTAATTTTGTGTCAACTCTAGGTCTGTCGAGAAATGTTTCACAGGACACCGCACAGGAATATTTTATACGTATAAAATATACCGTATGTGATACGTGTACTGCAATTTTTCTCATCGCATTTTGAGCATGCGTTTATATATACATACACAAATAGGCGAAGGAAAAAAAAAAAAAAAAAAAAGAAGTACCTATAAAAATTCTACCTTTTTCTCTCTATATATATGTATGCCCGGGTGAGGCAAAAAGGTGAAAAGTGCGGAACGTCCATATTTTTATATATTTGTACTTGCGCTTATGCAAATCGCCCTACATCCGCA